GTGTGTGTGTGTGTGTGTGTGTGTGTGTGTGTGTGTGTGTGTGTGCGTGCGTGCGTGCGTGCGTGCGTGCGTGCGTGCGTGCGTGCGTGCGTGCGTGCGTGCGTGCGTGCGTGCGTGCGTGCGTGCGTGCGTGCGTGCGTGCGTGCGTGCGTGCGTGCGTGCGTGCGTGCGTGCGTGTGTGTGTGTGTGTGTGTGTGTGTGTGTGTGTGTGTGTGTGTGTGTGCGTGTGTGTGTGTGTGTGTGTGTGTGTGTGTGTGTGAGCCTGCGTGGTGAGTACGCCAACCTCGGGGCGGGAGTACGGGTATTCTGCAGCGTCTTCAGAGCACCGCGTGAATACGAGGGAGGCGAGTACGGTGAGTACAGCCGAACACGGCCGAATACGGCTGAGTACGTGTCCTCTCGGGCGCTGGTTGGGATACAAGAATACGTGTGTCCGCTTCTAGAGGCCCGGTGTGCCGGTGTGTGTGCCGGTCCGCGCCAGTCCGCGCCCTTTGGTCGTGCCAGTGTGCTGTGAGAGAGGCTTGAATTTTAAGAGTTCTAAAGGCCCGAGCTTGGCGAAGGCGCGAGTGACCATGAAGCCCTCGACCTTCTTGCCGCGGTAGATGAGGTCGATGACGGGGATCGCGCGACGCACAACTGTGGATGATCGCCGTTGCGCGCTTCGCCCTGGCGGTCAGCAGCATCGCCACAACCGTCAGCGGGTTGATGAAGAGCTCGCACGCGTCGGCGAGCGCCACCGAGCCGGGCAGGCAGACGAGCCTACAGTGTGCTTAGCGTGAAGACTTCAGTGTGAAGGCACGGGGTTGTGTCTTTGCGTGAAGACTTCAGTGTGTGAAGCCTTCAGCGTGAAGACTTCGGTCAGTGTGAAGATCAGTGCTGCGCTCCGATCACCGCGTGAACTACACGGGCTGCGAGTGCAATGACTACGGCTGATTGCAGCGCAGCACGCATCCTCTCGGGTGCTCGTCGGAATACAAAGAGGACGTGATTCTAGCGCCTCTCGCCGCCAAGCGCTGCAGGCAACGTAGTCGGCGTAGGTGCCGCTGCCGGGGAAGGCGGCGACGCGCCGGCCCAGGAGCCCGAGCGTCGAGACGCCGCCTCCGGTTGCGACCACCACGCCGCTGCACTCCTGCCCGGTCGGCAGCGGGTACTCGCCCTTGGCGCTCCTTGCGCGCCAGGCGCCGTAGTCGGACGGGTTGATCGAGGCAGCGCACACCTTGATGAGCACCTGGCCACGCTTCAGCACCGGAAGCGGCGCCTCCTCCTCGACCACCACTCTGGCGAGGGCGAGGTCCGCGTTGGGCTCCACGACCACCAGCCGGCGCATCGCCTTTGGAAGATCCTTGCCGCCACGACGGCGGCAAGCGAGCAGCAGGAGGCAGCCGAGGGCGCCAAATGCGAGGGAAGCCCAGACGGCGTCGAACTGCATTGCGGAGTGGTGGATGCGGTGGCAGTGAGGATCGTCCTCGCGCTGCAGTCGAGGTGTCGAAACCAAGAATTGGGGAAGCCGGGCGCCCAGTAGGGCGCCGGCACCCCAGCGTAGAGGGCGTCGTGTAGCCCTCCTTTTGGTATTAAAAAAACCAAGAATTTTACCAGAAGCCTCTCATACACACACACGGCAGCCGAGGCCACATAGCTGGGAGGGGCATTCTACCCCAGAGTCGACAAACAGCTGGCAGACGAACCGCCCCTGATTCACGTTGACAAAATTGGACGTCGCCGCCGAGACGTAGCCAGAGTAGTGGACGCAGGGGCGCCCCTTCCACGCCGTCTCGCCGTCGTTGCAGTGGCGGTGCTCCTCCACCTTGAAGACCGAGATGCCCCACGCCTGGTCGCCCTGCTCCGGGCTGCACGTGGACGTCGGCTCGAGCAGCGCGATGTTCTTGTGGTCCCACGAGGTCGAGACCAGCGCGTCCGCCTCTGCAGCGTCGCCCTCGATGGTCTTCGCGAGGTGGTGAGGGAAATCGGTGAACTTGACCGCCGTCTGCGGGTAGTAGTTGAACTCGATGTCGGCGATGAAGTGGGCCGCGGTGTCGCCCTCCGTCTCGCTCGCCTCGACGTCGCGCTCCTTGATCACGACGTTGAGGTTCGAGCAGAACCCAGAGGTGGCGATGAGCCAGGCGGGGTCGTCGACCACGTCGGGCACGGGAGGAGAGGGCTTGGGCGCGAAGGCGAGGCCGCGAGCGGCTGGGTTGATGTCGTCGACGGTTTCTGCCTGCGCACTCGTGTGGTGCGTGGAAGTTCAAGCCTGCATGTGAGTAAGTGCGGCTGGGCGGAGCGACGCACCGGCAGGGCAGACGTCGACAGAGCGACGAGCAGAAGCGAGGCAATCTTCAGCATCCAGTCCAAGATGTACCCCCGTGAGATCCCGCGGCCAAAACGCCGTTTTTCAGAAGAATTCTTAGAATACTTCTTAGCTCCCCGGCCCTGGATGTGCGGTGTGTGTGTGTGTGGTTACTGACTGCACTCCAAGTGCTCCAAGATACAAGGCACACAGTGTGTGTGTGTGTGTGTGTGTGTACTCACTCACACCTCTCACAGCACACTCTGGCACAACAAGGGTGGTGACGCTCTCGAGGCTCTCGAGGTGTCGAGTGGATGTCCTTTTTCCTTCCTTTCCCTATTACGGCTTTAACTTGGGGGCACGGGACGCGCGCGCGCAGAGGCGGACGCTCCGATCAGGCCTGCCTGAGTGAGTAATTGTAGCAGGGCGGGGCACCGGCAGGGTAGACGCCGGCAGCGCGACGAGCAGAAGCGAGGCCATCTTCAGCATCCAGTCCAAGATGTACCCCGCGAGATGTACCCCGCGGCCAAAACGCCGTTTTTCAGAAGAATTCTGAAAACAAGCCTCTCAGATACGGTGCGAGGCCTCGCTAACGTGCAGCTCCACCGGGGACGTCAGGACCCTCCCCCTGTGCGAGTGCCTGGAGAACTCGTGCGGGAAGAGAGGGCGAGGTGCGCCCCCCTCTCACAACGCTCAACGGGCGACAGAGATCCATGCGACCGGCAAAGGCTGGGTCAGGGACAGTACTACGACGCGCTCCATGTCAGGAACGGAATCGTCAAAATTTGTCTCGTCGAAAGTTAGGGCGGCATCGCGCCGCCAACCAAGAGAATCATCCACAACTTCGCCAAAGAGGTCGGCAGCCCGAGCGCCGTCGACCGCACCGACTACGGCACAGCCTCCGGCAGCGCCCGGGGCTTCGCCCAGCACCACTCGCAACAGCTCTCGCGCGCCGCCGTCTGTGGCGACGCGCAGAACATCAACAACGCTGCTCGCAACATGCGTGTCGCGCACTCGTTCATGACCGGTCTCAATGTCCCACCCCCTTGCGCGCGGGCCTTCTAGGCCCGCAGGTAGTCTCCCCCCCACGTAGATGATGAAATCAATGTGAATGGGCAGTGCTTCACGCAACGTCCAACGATCGGTCGTTCGCCTTGTTTGTTAGTGTTCTTTCTTGCTTGCTTGTACCGTCGGGGTATGTGTGTACTCACTCACACAGTTTGTTTGTTGATTGATGCTGTTGACCGCCGTTGGTGTACTGCCCGCGCGCTTGCAACCCTCAGCCCTGACCCGACGGGGACGCCACCACCCTCGCCCAGCCAGGGATCTACAATGCTGTCTTAAGGTCCGACAGGTTCGGCACCGGGCACCGCCTCGATATACAAAATGCGCCTGCGGGCGGACCCTTACAGATCACAGATCACAGAAACGTGCCCACAAGCGCGGAGCACTTGGAGCACTTGCAGGGGGCAGTTATTTTTCCGCGGTTTTTTTACGCGGTTTCGTGCCACGTGTTCGCAGCCGCTCACTACAAGCTTTCGCTCAGCTCCTCCTCCCCGTCTGCCTCGCCCAGCCCTCGCCCAAGCCGGTCTCGATGCTGCCTCTCTTCCTCTCCCTCGCCGCCGCCTCCTCCGTGAAGCTCGAAGACGGCGTCGCTGTCCTCACGCCGGACAACTTTGACGACTGGGTCAAATCGCAAGAGGTGCCGAGAGCTGCCACCTCGCCGCTCCACCACCGCCACCAGAGCCATTCCCGCTGCTGCCGCTGACCCAATGCTTGCGTCCGGTAGTTTGCGCTCGTCGAATTTTACGCACCATGGTGCGGCCACTGCAAGTCGCTCGCTCCCGAGTGGGCGGCGGCCGCCAAGAAGACGCGAAAGTACTGCCCGCTCGCCAAGGTACCCGGCCGCGGCATCCTTACTCACAAGCTTACACATTTGGGTAATTGAGAGGACCCATGCTGTGCTCGATCCCAGGTGGACGCGGACGAGCACAAGTCGCTCGCGGAGCGCTTTGACGTCAGCGGCTACCCCACGATAAAAACATTCAAGAAGGGGGAGGTTCGCCGAGATACGCCGAGATACGCCGACATCCGTCGAATGTCGAGGCGGCGAGCGCACTTGTGCACCTTAGCACGCCCGGAGTCGCCTCCACCACGAGAGAGCCGTCTTCTGGCGCCCCAACAAGGCGAGCACTTCCGAGACACTTCCGAGACACTTCCGAGACACTTCCGACGCACATCCGAGACACCTCCGAGACACCTCCGAGACACCTCCGAGACACCTCCGAGACACCCCCGAGACACCTCCGAGTCGCCTCCACCACGAGAGGGCTGTCTCTGGCGCCCCTAATCAGGCGAGCGACTACGAGGGCCCGCGAGAGGCCAAGGGCGCGCGTCGCCTCCTTTACCCAAGGACTGGCCGGGGGTGGCGCACCCTGCTCACATCTGGAGGTGCGAGCACCAGGCATCATCTCGTTCGCAAAAGAGCTGGCGGGCAAGGCCGCAGACGCGGCCAGCCCGATCGAGCGGATCAAGAGTGCAGACGTCTCAAGCTTGGTCGCCGAGACTAGACGAGATTAGACGAGATTCGAAAAGATCATGAAATCTCAAGCCTAGCCGCCGAGACACTCCCGAGAACACCTCCGGGACACCTCCGAGACACCTCCGAGAGTAGATGCGCAATACGGCCGTCGGGGTAGGTGCGGGAGACGGCGCGCGCGTCGTCGGAGTGCCACCTCCGCCACGTCCACAGCACGCCTGGTTCGCGGGCCTGCCGGCATGCTAGCGAGCCCTCGAGAAGACACGGCTCCGCCACCTACCGACGCCTTCCACGGCCGAGCCGCGCGCCCTCGCGCGGTATATGAGCAGCCTCCCGCACGTGCACCTACTCGGGGACGCGCCGGGGAGTCGTGTGTGGACCGTTAAGAGAGACGGGGAGGTGGGGTTTGGCGGTGCCGCTGCCTTGGGCGACCGGCCGTATGCTCGCACCCCGCCCCGGGTGTACCCAGTGGGCTCCTGACTCTCTCGCAGATGTCGAGTCGCGAGGGCTGTCCCGCCCTGCCCCACCACCTCGCGTGTGTGGAGGAGTTGACCTTGCCTTGCCTGCACGCACAACGCAGGTCGCCAAGGGCCCAGCCCTCGTCGGGATCTTTCGAGAGCCGACCAGCGCCAGCGCGATGTTCAAGGCCGTCGAGATGTAGCCGAGATACGGCCTAACCCTAACCCTAGCCCTAGCCCTAACCCTAGTGCCCGGAGCCTGCACGTTGCACGCCACTGACACTGCCCGCATGCTCCCAGTCCAGCACCGGCGGGACGTGTGTGTCTCTTGGTTCTTGGACGTGTGGAACGACGTCTGTGAACACGCGGGGACTCGCGATGACCTCCTCGGGAAACCCTCCCCCCAGGTCTTCTCCGAGGTTGCCTCGGACACGTCTCTGTACACCGACCTGCCCGTGGCGGCCGCGTACAGCGCGTCGTATAAAGAGGACCCTCTCGCCTCCGCGCTCGGGATCAAGGCGCCGCCGCCACCGATCCCGCCACCACCGTCCCCCGCAATAATGGAGCGGGAGCCGGGGGCCACCAAGCCCACGGCGGCCGCCGCTTGCGGCTTCGGTGGCCACCGTTGCCGGGCCGGCCGCCGCCTTTTCCCTTGGGAAGGCCAAGAAATTCCCTCAGGAATGCCCCCCAGCCAGGGGCCCCCGGCCCCGGGGCCCCGGGGCTCAGGTGTTAGTTCCCCCCCCCCCCCCCCCCCCCGTCTCCCTCCTTTCGCCCCGCACACTCGCGCGTAGAGGCTCGAGCTCTCGCTTTCCTTAGGCCTTCCCGGCGGTGCTCTACTTTCCGTCCGGCGCCACGGCGCCCTCGGCGACGATGGCCATCCCGAGAGATCGGAAGCTCTTCACGGAGGAGGCGCTCGGTGAGTGGCTCGGCCAGCAGGCTAAGTGAGTGGGCGGCCGCCGTTCCGCCGTTGGAGAGAGTGGAGGCGGACTGAGCAGTGATGGTTGAGGTGGGAGGTCGAGAGTGCCGACGATCGGTTTTGTGTGCCGCATGGGCTATGGCAGCTGGTCGTACGCGGGTGATAGAAGAGGAGGTTTGACGTAAGGTAAGGTAAGGTAAACTTCTCCAGACTCCACACACACGAGGTGGTGGGGCAAGGGGGGGCGCGACCCTCGCGTCTCCACGTCTGACGACAGGAGCCCCACGGCATTCAAAGTGCAAGGCCCGCAGTGCGCGACCGTGTGGGTGAGAGCGGTGTGTGTGTGTGTGTGTGTGTGTGTGTGTGTGTGTGTGTAAGGTAAGGTAAGGTAAGGTAAACTTCTCCACACACACGAGGTGGTGGGGCAAGGGGGGGCAACCCTCGCGTCTCCACGTCTAACGACAGGAGCCCCACGGCATTTAAAGTGCAAGGCCCGGTGCGCGTGGGTGAGCGGTGTGTGTGTGTGTGTGTGTGTGTGTGTGTGTGTGTGTGTGTGTGTGTGTGTGTGTGTGTGTGTGTGTGTGTGTGTGTGTGTGTCACGTCACTGCATCCTCTGCCGGTTCCTCCCGTCGCCTCTTCTTTGTTCGAATGTTTTTCAATCCATCCTTCACGAAGCCCTCCCATGTAGCTAGCGTTCTTTGCGAATGTCTCGAGATGGCCAGCAGGCGCTGTCTGCTCGCGGCCTGTGCGGGCCGCTCGTCCTCCTCGCCCTTCTTTCGTCCTCCCGTCCCTCCCCTCCACCATGGCCTCCTCGGCACTTCTTTCTCCATCCGCCTCGCCCTGCCTTTTCGTGTCGTGCCGTTCGCCCTCCATTCGGTGACCTCCATGGCTGTCCGGCTCCTTTTGGGTGGCGCTCTCGATACCGTTGCGTCAACCTCGACGTCGCTGTCGCCCTCCCCGTCCCCGTCGTCGCCCGTGCCTCGGTTCGCGTCGTTGGAGCGTTTCCGTTGTTCCCTCGTGCTCCGCCGTCGCCCTCTCTGCTCGGGCCGTTCGCGATTTCGCTCCTCCTCCGGCCGGCGCGATCACCGAGCTGTGACGCTCAGGGAAGCCTGATGAGGTACTGGTTTCTTTGCCCAGGCCTGGCCTACGGCCCGTGCTGGATCAGCTGAGCAAGGTTTGGGGAGAATCCTATAGTAGGATCTTCAGATATTTTGACGGATGACCGAAATCACCCCGTTTTTGCCCATTTTCGATCCGTCAAAATATCACGACGACACACACCAGTCGACTCGCATCGGTTGCCTCCATGAACGGCGGAGCTATTCTCGCGTCCACACCACACCTGGCTCCAACGTGGACACGCCCATAGCTGGGGACACCACTAGGTCACGCATGGCATCAGAAAGAAGTTTTATCTCTGGGCCCCGAAAGGCATCTCTAGCAGCGTCGTTACGCATGCGCCCTCCCCTCCTGGGCGCATACGCCTCACGTCCCGACAGAGCCTAAGCACACACACACACATCGCTACCCAACGCGGCCAAAGGATATCCACCTCGAGAACCTCGAGAACACACACACTCGAGTTGGGTCATAGGCCCACTTTCGAACCCGACCTCGAGATTGCTACTCAGCGCTGTCGTATGAGGTATGAGGGTGCTCGCGCCGCCTCCACAGAGCGGTATGGTCTTGCACAACGGCAGCCTCCGTGTGTACGACGTGCCACAATGTGGGGCGGCATACACTCTGGCCCAGCTTCAGAACGTGTTTGCGGCACACGCCGTCGAGTGGAACCTGATGGGCCGCGACCGGCCGTGGTGGAGCGTGCTGAGCGTCGCCGAGTACGATCAAGGCACGGCGCCGTCTGAGAATACAATCCGAACGTTTTATGAGTCTGGCCGCAAACATGTCGACCGGGTGCTCGCCGACCTGCACCTCGCGCCTCCGCTTCACGATATGCGTGTGCTTGACGTGGGCTGCGGGTTAGGCCGACTCGCTCACGCGTTTGCAAGGCTGGGTGCAGCAGTGGCTTGCGTCGATCAGAGCTGGAACCATCTCCGCCTCGCTCAGAAACAGGCGTACAAGCGCCTGGCCGCCGCCGACGCCAGGCGCATCGAGCACTTGGTGACCTCGCCCGACCTCATCGCCTCTGTGGGCGGCCGCCGGTACGACGTGGTGCACAGTTGGATCGCTTTGCAGCACGCGGTGGCGCCCTTGCAGGCCGTGTTCATGCAGCAGATGTGCGACGTGCTCAAGAGTGGCGGCAAGGGCTTGCTGCAGATACCATTCTTCACTCCTGTTCGGTCGTCATGCGACTTGGACAAGTCGATCCAGAAGGGCGGAATGCAGGCGACGGGCCGTCCCAAGAGCCCACCCCACAGACCCTGTGCGTGCCATCCACCGGCATTTTAACACACGCTCCGTCCTGACCCTGAGCTGTCCCACTCATCTGTCTCGGCAGATGCACTACACGCCAATGGACGAAATCCGGCACGCATTTGAGTCGCGCGGCTGCAGAGTTTCGGTGAAGAACTTGGGGAGCAGAATGGCGAGGCACCGTTTCGCGCTCGTCAACTTTTCGCGACCGTGAGCCGCATTTCACCCAAAGCTGGGGTGGCAGTGGCAGCCCAGCCAGGCCGCTATTCTTGTGTACTATGTCGTGTCGATCTCTCACTCAGCTGAGTGAGGGTACGTACCTTTATCCAGCACTTCCCAGCAGTGGTTCGCGTTTGCCTATTTGCTACACGGTGCGGTCGCCGCCCGCGTAGAGCTGTGCAGTCTCAAGATCCTTCTCTGATCTTTCCTCCGTTCTCACTAGCTAGGCCCTAAGAAGAGTTACCACATGTCACATGTGTCGGTACCTCCTAACAGCAACACTGTGTAATATATATTTTAGCACACGAAATATTCGCGGGCCTACTTCGCTTATTTCGCTCCGAGTCTCGATCCAAAAACACATGTGGAGCATCCACGCAGTCGCAGGCCTGATCCTGCTTGCCGTCGCTGTGTACAAGCTCTGGCTCCAGCGCTCCAGTTCTCCACAGTACGCGCGCGCATCGTCCCTTCCAATGACTAAGAGACTTGATCGACACATCGCCGCCGCCGTCACCGGGCTCATCGG